GGAAACTAATTGTAACTGAAAAGTATAGAATAAAATTTTATCGTTTAAATATTTGTTTTCGAGAAAATTAAATTTGAAAATTTTTGATTTGATTTTTTTTCCGATTATATTTAATATCTTGAAAATGAGTGCTTATAAATAATAAAATTTTATTCTGTACTTTTTAGTTATTTTTATATATTATCTATGGAATCTATTAACTATGGAATCCCATCATATATAATTCATTTCATTCAATCGGAAATTTTACTTAAAAAATTTTCAAATTTAATTTTTCAAAAATGAAGCAATAAATAAAAAAACATTCTCTATTTTCAATTTATTTTTTTATGAAAAATTTATTTATGATTTTATTATTCGTACCGAAACATCTTATATATTTTTATAATTAATTTGTAATTTATTATAATTGTGAAATTCTATATCTAAAATTTAAATAATTATTTATCATAAATATAAAAATTTAATTGAATTAATTGGATTTTAATTAATCTTCAAGATTAAAAATTTTTTCTTGTTCAAATATAATAAACAAATGTATACAATAATTCAAGTTATTATACTTAAAAATAATCATGCAAAAAATCTTTAATAATAAGTATTTAGAACATTTATTCGAATTAATAATAAACTATATATTTGCATATAAATGCAACACATATAAATATTAAATTTATATGTATATGAATGATTAGAAGTTTACTTTTTATTACTCATGTATATGACTCAAAATTAACTTATAACAATGATAATATAATGATAATAATACAATAAAAAATAAAGAAGACATAATAATAGATTTAAATGTAAATGTGCAGCACCGCAAAACAGATTCCCTAAGTACACTACTTAAATTGATATATGTATATATATTATATAGCTACAGTAGTTAACAAGTCTGCAGACTACAATAATGCAGTCCCAATATTTAGTTGATTAATCTAAATTTTAAGTGTACTTCAAAATGTCGTATATATCCTACCACATTTTCTTTTCTTGTAATAATAGAGCATTATTGGATTTAAATATAATATAATCTTTATATAAATGTATAAAAAATTATACATTATTAAGGTTAAAAATAAAATAATTAAAATGATAGTATAATTAAATATATTGCAATCAATATATGTTTTAATTATGAAACTGATTTGTACAGAGACAGCAATTTGTACTTCTTAAAAAAATATAAAATAAAAATTATATTTAAAAATAATATAAATTTAAAATTTTATATACATTTACATATAAGAATTCTATATTATATATGAATTCTGTTTTACACTTACATATTAGAAAAACTTTATATTTAATTTTTGCAAGAAATATACAGTATATTTATTCTTAAGTATATAATGTTACTGATATGTTAACAATGATAAAATACATATGAATTTAAAAAAATCATATATAAATTTATAAAAAATATAATCATATACAAAAAATAAATCATATATAAATTTATGATTCATAATTAATCTGAAATCATCATATGTAAATGTATATATATTTATATATACAGAGTATTAATATATTCGTTAAATATCTTTGAAGATTTTAAACTAAAATAAGACAAAATTGATATACAAAAATGTCAATTGAAGCTTATTTATTAATTTATAAACAATTAAAGTTTATATTAGATAAATCGAGACGAAAAAAAATTTGTATTTCTATTTCTTATATCATTTATATATCTATTTTCGAATTGTTTATAACTTAATAACTAACTCAATCAATATTTTATATACTAATTTTTGTATTCGTTTTGACTTTATAATGAATTCTTATAATATTATTCTATAAATATTATTAAGTATTAAAGTATCTTAATAAATATATTATAACGAATATATTATTAGTCTATATATATATATATATATGCGCGCGCATGTGTGCATATATAGGATAAGTTATGCAATTATTCAAATGCTTGGTCGAATTCGATTAAACGTAGCAAGAAAGTATTTTTATATATATTTTTTTTCAATTTATTCGAAAATAACAATGCATTTTTTAAGAATACAAAACGAATTGCATTTTTTTTAAAATATATTGATATTTCAAAATCACAATGAATTTCTGCAAAAATTTAATCTTTAGAAAATCAATATTTTATGAGATATTTCCAATTTATTATAAACACTTGAAGATATAAATATATAAATATACATCAAATGTATCAATTTGTGAATTGCTTAAAAATATACTAATCCATAATATTGAAGATAGATACTAATAATTTATGATTATTATTGTTTAAGTTTAAGGAATAATGCTGAAATTTACTCATATACAAGAATGAAAAGTGAACTTGAAGCTTAATTATATCAAATACTATTATGTATCTATCTTAATTAAATATAAAAACAAAAAAATTGTATTTAATCAAATGTAGTCAAAAAAAATCTGTTTTAATTAGTAATTAAAATAATCTGCAAATAAATTATATTTTGAAATAATTGATAATGAAATAATAAAAAAATATAATTAAATGAAAAAAATAACATTTAAGACAAATTGCAAGTATCAAATGACATTTAATATTTGTATTTCTATTTCTTATTCTATTTCTTATTTCTTATTTGAAGAATTTTATAATTAATTATTCCTAAAATATGTAACAGCTATTCTACAATTATAGCTATATTACATCTTTAACATTTGGATATTTTTTATTAGCAATAAAATAATTACATTTATATTATTGTATATAATTGAATTTGACTTTCATTAAAAATTACAAGTTTTTTCTATATCTAATCAAACATAAAATATAATTTGATCTAATTGCGCAACTCATACTATATATGAAAATTCTTGCATAAAATTTTATACATAAGTCTCAGTACATATCAGTATACTTATCAGTATACTTAAATTTTGAAAAATCTTGAACACTTTTTATCGACAAAATTTTAATATGACAACTTTAATATGACTTTGATTTGATACATGTGAATATTCTGTATTCCACATGTTTTGTGCACCATATAACAATAGTGAGTTACATACATCACTATATTAGTACGGATAATAAATATAAAATATTAATTGGCATACAGTATGATGAAATACAGAATTGCGATACAATATGATTCTGTATTAAATTGTATAATCTTGAATTTTAATTGGCAGTCAAATATTTATGTTGATGTTCTCAGTCTTATGAGAACTTTTTCTCAAGTTCAAATAATGGAAGATGTAAATTTTTTCATACAAACTATCATAAACTCTTATAAAAATTGTGTTTGACCATAATATAGTCAAAGATATAATTATGCTTTATCATCAAAACAATTTGACTCATTAATATTTTTTTTTTATATTAATGGAAGAATTATTTTACTCAGGAGAAGAACTACAGAAGTTTCTTTCTGTATATCATACTAATCTCAAAATGTCTAACAGTTCCAACAGTTATGAAGGTCCCAATCTAATATGCTATCGTTTTAGCAAAGGACGGAAGTGGAAAAGGAAATATACTAATTGGAATGTATATATATTGATAACAATGAAGTTTCCAGAGAAAAAGAATCAGTCTTTATGCTATATGAATCTAAAATATACAAAGTGAAATGTGAATTATTATGAATTGGATTATATTGATATCTTTTATAGTCTTTTTATTATAAGATATAAATATTTATTTATTAAAAATGGTTCTTATTTATTAACATACATTTCTTTTTATAACTTTTTTTTAAAAATATAAGATTAAAAATATATACATAATGTAAAATGAAATAATCTGTGATATGAATTACAAAGAATTAAAGAACACAAGAAATAAATATATTGAAGAAATTTAAGAATTATGAAAATTGCATAATATTCAAATATCTCTGAAAACTTCAAAGAATACTCATGATATTTTGATAAAAAAATAAGAAACTTTGTTCTATATGAAAAGAATAAAGGAATGAATAAAGAATTAAAATTATAATGTGGAAGAATACAATCCACTACATTAATCTATACATACAATTATAACAGGAATTATTATTGTGTAATATAACTTATTAACTTGTAAACTAATACAATAAAATGTAGTTTAACATTCATTCAATGTCAAACATTTTATCATGTTAAAATTTCAAGCTGAGTTCATATATGACATTTATTTATTTAATCTTATGAATTGTATGCGCCCATGATCTACCATATTATATATCATAGCGTGAAAAATCTGTATTTTCATATCGACTTTTGTTATTAGAAATTGCGTTCTTTGTGATAACATTAATTAATCAAAACAAAAAAACAAAGAAAGAAAAAGAAAGAAAGGATACAAATGAACATAGTAATTATGAATTCAAGCCTTGACGCTTTTCTTCTTCAAGCATAGCATCAAGTTCATCAGTAAGATTTGCAAGCATATTCCCAATATCATTCAAAACATCAGCTGGTTCACTACCACCAGTATGATGGCTTATTCCATGATTTTGCAAATTATTGCCAGTATTACCACTTGTATATTCTTGTGCGCGTACTGCTCTTTGTTTTATTGTTCCAGCATTCTCATTTGCAAATGGTAATGAATCTGATTCTGTACTGGAACTCGACTGAAAAAAATATATATTTGATATTAATATATGATTACAATATTATATAATATTATATAATATATATGATTATAATATCAATTATAATATATGATAATTGTAGAAAAATTATAGTAAGTTTTTATCATGTTTCTAATTTTTATATAAAATTTATATAAAATTTATATAAAATTTTATATTTATAATATTATTTATATTATATTATTATATTATTTATATTATTATTTATATTAAAATAAAAATTTCATAAAAAAGATTAAAACAAAAATAAAAAAAAACTCAATGAATATTCAAGACAATTAAATGTTTAAAACAATAATAAAATATATATATATTTAAAATGAAAGCTAAATAAAATAAATTTTGATAATATAGAAATAATGAACACTATAATGTTGAAAAAAATAATAAAATTAATTTAAAAAATTTAAAAATTGCTAAAATTTAACGCAACAAATTTAAAATGTTTTTATTTAATAAATAAGTTTTAACTAATATTTTCTTTTTGTATATTTCTTATATATCTTGTATATCTCTTTATTTTTTAAAATCGATCCAATCAAAAATCAATATATTCTACGAATATATTTACTTTATATGTATAAAGATGTTTTCATTGAATTGATATTACTTTAGATAATTTTAATTGATATTAGCACTAATTTTAAACATTTAATGATAATAAAATTTTCATAAAAATTTTCAACAGTTATGAAATAATAATTTTTTGATTGAATTATATTTTTTGTTTCAAGAAAATAATTATAAAATAAAATATATTTTCTTTTATTTTATCATATACATTTACATTTTGTATAAATAGAAATGAAATTTTTATTTTTTCGAAAATAAAAAAAAGTTAAAATATAAGGAAATTTTATTTAACTTGTAAAAAATTCTTTACAAAAATTTTAATTATTTAAAAAATTAACTATTTAAATGCATTAATAAAATCGTTTCATAAAATTCTAATTGCATATAAAAATATTATATTAAGATATCCTATAAATTTCTTTCTTTTTTTCGATATGAAATGAATACATAATATTTGTTATTTAAGATTGATTTATTGTGTTATGTATGAACTGTTCTTCTGTATCACCTTTTTCCATCTCTCAAGAAGCTTCATTATTTTCTTTTTCCAAAATTAAAGTTTATTTGCAAAATATTTCTCAAGATGCATTTTTATTTCGCTTACGGAATTGTTTATCATGAAGAGAATTTTTTTAATAACAAGAATATTAATAGTCAGATAGAGCAAAATCTGGGATATAGAAAATGCGACAGAATGTTCCAATCAAACTCTAACAAACTGTAAAAGTCAATGCAACATGCGATTTTGCATTGTCGAAATGGCCTCATCGGTCTGCCAATTTTGGCTGTTTTTCTGCTATGGCATGTTTCAATTTATTAAACTAATTGCAATATTTTCCAAAATTGATGGTTTCACCTTGAGAAAGCTCATGTGCAGTTCACTTTTCAAATCTCACTTTTCATCTCACTAAATGGATAAAAGAATTTTCTTCGGATGAAGTCCAACCTTCACGACAATTGAAGCTTTATTGTCCTTAAATCAAATACGTTTTCGATGCACATTTTGATACAAAATTCAAATTTCGTTTCCAGTGACAAGCCTCTTTGAAAAAAGATCTCTTTCATATCACTAGAGAAGAAAATCGCACGTAGAGATGTGGTTCATAAAATCGGTCTCCATCAATAACTGTGGAATTCAAATTTCATCGATCGATATATCCCATCTTGGTCAAATAGTTATCTACCATTTTTCTGGAAATGTTAATGGCATCTTTTATCTCTTGCACATTATATCGCGGATTTTCAGCGAGCATAGTCTTCATAAAGTCCGTATTCGTCGTTGCTGAGCAATCGCTGCAATCTTTATTTTTTAAGTCAAAATTGCCATCTCTAAATCTCTTAAATCAATTGCGGATAGTAATAATTGTAACATCATTCCCGTAAACAGTACAAATCTCGTCTACAATATCATTTGTATTATTACCTTTTTTAAAGCAATAAAGCATAACATGTCACAAATACTTCCTTTGATTATTCATATTGAACAATGTAGAAAAAATTTTTAAGAGATTCAAGATATCATCAATGAAACATACTTTAAAAGAGCTCTAGGATGACTGAAACCGATGCCATAAACAGCTAATAGATAAGTCTGCATAAAAATAACCAATTAAAGTTATTCTTAACGTAGTGCGATAGAAATTTATGGAACACTCTAATACTTTAAAAGAGGACGACTCTAGGACGACTCTAGGACGACTCTGCCATAAACGGCTAATAAATAAGCCTGCATGTTCATATAAAAATAGCCAGTTAAAATCATTCCAGCGTAGTGTGAAAGAAACTTATGGGACACCCTAATATTACATATTACTTCTAAAGCTAAGCATATTTGAATACTAAAAATGTATTTAATGTCTTTCTATTTTACTCAATTTTTCTTATTATAAGTAAAATAAAACAACTATATAACAATTGTGAATTGTTTATTTATCTATTTTTAATTCTTTAAATGATTAAAGAATAAAGCTAATCAAAGGATTTTTAGATTTGATCTCAAAATATTTATTACGGGTATAAAATAGATGATTTCTTTTCCAGAACTTTTATAAATTGAATATAAAATAACTATTGAATTTTATTTTTTTTTAATTTTTTATATAATAAATTTTTTATATAATAAATTAATTAACATCTGCGTGAAATATATCGTGAAAAATATTTTGTGCAATATTTTTCTTTGCATCGATTTTAGTTTTCAAATTATTTATAAAAAATTTTCGATATTATTGAATTTTACTTATAAATGTGCAACCATCACTTATTAACTACATATAAACATCATTGGCAATCAGTAATTAATATGAAGTTTCAATTCTTTGCACTTACAAAAAACTAAAAATAATCGTATTATTAATAAATCTCTTAATGACAAAATTTTGGATTTACATCGCCTATATATATACGGGTATAATGTGGAATACTTTTGAAGGATGAATTCTAGATACCAAAACAATTCATATTGAAAAAAGTTCATATACACATATGTTAAAGCATGTATTTATATTTGCAACGAGTTATAAGCATTTTAAGTTTGTATTAAATAGTGTGAGACAACAAAAGAGTGAGAACGCTCAACTGCGCGACAATACTATATTGCAATATCGTTTACATAGCGGAATCCTTGATAAAAAATGATATTTTTTTATATACAATTGATTATTTCAAATAAATTTCAGTATAAGATAATATACAATGTACATAAATATAATATAACATAATGTAACTATGCAATAACATAAATGTAACTATGCAACATTTTTATATTTTTTAAAAAAATTATGCAAATTAAAATTTATGTAACTTATTATTTAAGAGAATAACTTCGAATTATATATATAACAAATTCCACAATATTTAGAAAGAATGATTATACAATATTTCATTTAAAATTATAAATGAATCATTGTATTTTATTCAATCTGCTGTATTTACCAAAATCCATAGAAACAAATAAAAATATATTTCTATAAGATTTCAAATCAGAAAAGTTGAATATGTTTTTTATGCACAATTACTTTTTTAATTATTTTCATATGTATAAAAAAATAGTAATAATACTTGAATCAATTTGAATTTCAGATTCAATCAAATTACTGACAAATCTTTATCTTTATTTCTTTATTTCATTTGCATTCAATATTTCTTGTTCTTATTCAGAAAAAAATAATAGTTGATTTGGATATCACTTATCACTTATAAATCAATATTACATATTAAAATCACATATCTATAAAATGCATATATATTGCAATTGCTTCTTTTATGCTCGATTAAATATTACAAATTTATTAATTTTTTTTTTTACACATTTATTTCTGATATGTGTTACACGAATATTACGAACACTATTTTAGCAACGGGAAAAATTGGTCTAAATTTTATATATTACACATAAACATAATATTCGATTTCGAATATTACTATTTAATTTTTTGTTTTTATCAAATCTCTTTTTCTAACACGATTAGCATTCAATTATTTGCAATGCTATTTCAATAGTTATACCGCGGAATTTATACAGTTATACAGTTTAATGAAATAATACATATTTGAATATTTGTTTAAAATATAGTTTTAATTAAATAATTTTAATTAAATAATTATAAAATTAAATTATATAATAATAATTAATAATCGAAATAATGTTATTTAATCTATATTTTAATTTTCTAATTTTTTATTTATTCTATAATTTAATTTTATTTAATCTATATTTAAAGAAATTAATAGTAAATAATGAATAGTGAATAGTGAATAAAACAAAATATCTAATATAGAATAGTAACATGAAAAAAAGAAATGCAATGCTTATATGATTTTTTTTAATGGATATAAGATTTATAGTAACATTAATATAATATGATTAAAATATAGATATTGAATTTCAACATTATTTTTTTCTATTTAATCTCATATCTGAATAATAAATATTGCAGTTAAATGAAAAAAACAAAAATTTTTTAATTAATTCACTTCAATTGATTTATGATTTTCAAATTATGATTTATGATTTATAATTCAAATATCATCAGTAAATTTTTTATACATGTGAAGATAAGCAAGTTATATATAAAAAAAAATATATTCAACCTTTCTAATCTGAAATCTTATGGGAATATGTTTTGATGTTTGCTATAAATTTCGTTAAGTAAGCAGATTAAGTGTAATCATACAATTCAGCTATGAATTTATGAATTAAATAATATGTTTGTACCATAAAATGATTTATCTATAGATTTAAATAAAATGGTATATGTGTTAATATTCATTTATTTATTAATACTTATTCGAGATAAGTGTTTGTTAAATAAAGATACAACAATAATAATATGTATATTATATATTACTTTATACTTTATTTTATATAAAATTCACTTGAAATAATCAATTATATATAAAAAAAATATCAGTGTATTTACTTTCATTGAGAGGCTTTCTATAGCGATATTGCAAAATGTTTTTTTATTCGATTTCACTTTATCTATATAAATATCTATATAAATCTATATATATTATATAGATAAATATAATTATTTATATAAATCTATATAATATAAACTTAAAATACTTATAATTTGTTAATTAAGTCTTTGCTATATTTTAATAATAATATTGAATGAAATTTAAATAGATATAATAGTTGTATTGTATTTATATCATTAATGATTCGCCGTTGCTACTATTAATTAGAATTAAATTATTAATTAAAAATCTTGATATACAAACAATAATATTGTCCATAGCAATAATAACATTGTAAAACCGAAATTACTATATATTTTTTATTTTAAAAATAAGTATTTGAATCTTTTAATGAAAATGGAATCGTTACAATTAATATTGCTAAGCAATAATTTAACACTTTCAAGTTGTTCAAAATTTAACATACATTATAATATATTTGTAAATATTATCAACTAATAAAAAAATTAAAATTTATATTATATTATTTTATATTATATTATATTATATTATTTTATTAATTTATCCTTAACAGATTATATATTTAAACAGTTTTATTTAAACTAACGAATATTTTTTATACTCACTATATATTTATGGAACATCTTTGAAAGATTTATTTTTCAAATTATAATGCAAAAAAATTTGCATTAGAAGAAGCGAGATGAAAATAGTAGATTTTTTTATCTCTGTC